AACCACTCTTATAGCACATATCAACTAATAGTATCCTACTCTATATGGTAGATTGTGAATGGGCTATACGAGTTGATAATCGAAGCACAGAGGAAGAACAGGAGAGAGAGAAAGAGAGGAGAGAGCATGAGCAGAGATATCGATAGCGTGTCGAGCAGAGATAGAGCGAGATGAGGCGAACTACGTCTATCTCTCTCTTCTCTCTCTCTCTCTCTCTCTCTTCTCTCTTGCCCCTGATTAATGTTTTTCACATGTTTTTTCTGCCAAGATTGACTTAACGCACTTAACAGTATAAAATACCAAATTTAGGCTTATTGTAGCTGTGAGACTCATAGCTCGCCACAGCATCTTGCGACGAACGTGATCAGTCTGCCACGTGGTGTTTGAAGGCGTCGGAATATTCAAGAGAGACGGGCTCGAATGCTCGCCAAGTGACCATGAATTAGATTAAGTGCGAGGCTGTACGCTGCCGTTGGTTGTGTTTGTGTTGTGAGAAGTTGACTGACTTGATGAACGTAGCTAATCGCAGTTGTTTGCGGCATTGTGCGGCCTTTTGAAGGATCTGCCATGGAGTTCATTCTTGGCAATCGCGTTAAAAGGCGCTGCCGACCTTAGTCATGATTTTGTGAATACCCGAACTGTAGCTTCAGAAGTCAACGGGGGACGTTGGAGCGACACATGTTACGGATTCATCCGGGGCTTCTGCTGCTGAGAGGCACAGCGGATTTGAGGTAAAAGGCCGAGCGTCGCTGGTGTAGGCTCACACTGTCCGGTGCACCTCGGAAATTGCGTAGGTACTGACCGGTTGTCAGCCGTGAGATAAGAAGATTTTTATTGGCATTTTATCATAAATATAGTTCTAAATGAAAGTACTAGAAACGTTAAAAAATGCCGTTTGTATCTGCGGATACCATACTGCATTGATTTCGCAGTAACTGACTGAACTCATGCTAGGAAGTGCGGAGCTTGCACCGGTTAAGCCTGTGTTTATGCGAAAAAATGAAGGTCGCCAACGCTTCCAGCTGATCGCGTAATGACGTCACAAAACCAAAATCGATAGTTTTCTGGTTCTTGTAGAACCATGTTATCGGTAAATGTAGGGTCACAGGGATACAGTTTTTCAAAATATATACGGATGAGAGAGTGGGGATGGGACACACGGAAAAAATATGGCTGAGCCTGCCTCCGAATACGCTAGAAAAATTTATCCCGGACATAACGCAGTTTATTTCAGAGCTGAGATCAGGAGCGTAGATTCTAAAAATTAGTTCGGGGGCTGAACCAGAACGATTATGAGTAATGAAAAATAAAAGCTAAAAATGAACCATAGCAAAGGAAACTACAGTCCTGGTTAGGAGGCAAAATCTCCCCCAAGCCCACAACTGAATAGGGAGCTATTCGTCTTTAAGGCAAGTTTTGTTGATTATACCTCTATTTGGTAATTCCCTTAGATCAGTCTACACAATCTTCATTTTATGATTGCCAGCAAGTGATAGTTAAGAGCAAGCGAAATTCCCGAAAAGAAAACGTGTGGTGGTTATGTGGCACTGCACTTCAGTTATCTCTGTTTTTGTGGCTGATCGTTTCTAGCATTATGTTACAACGGTTTCTAATATATTGGTTCCAGGCGATAGTGAACACTGCCCACAATTTGGCTGGGGATGGAAAGATGCCTTTTCACCCCTTCGGCAGGGGTTACCGGAGATCGTTCCCTTGAATGGTTGCGAGGCTTAGCAAAAAAGGGCGTGACAGAACAACACGAAATTTTGGGACCTGTTAAGATATCTGTTTTGCAAACCGCAGGATAATTCAGAAATTCCCAGCAGCTCTTTGCGCTGAGTGAGATTAGACAAAGGCAAAAGTCCAACAATTTGAACCCTCGTAACTTGTGAACTCGCACTCGTGTGGGGGGTCAAACTGAAGCCCCTTCAAAGGTTTTTCCAAAATGGATTCCGAGCGGCGCAGCGCAGCCACGCCAAATTTTGCATAGCTGTAGACAGTTGAATAGCAAATCGTGTGCACTCAAAAGTTTAGATGTGTCTGTTAAGGTCGCTGACCTATAGCAGGTTAAAATCAAGTCATGGTTTCAGCGAAGTTAAGTTGGATGGAATCGCTCAATGTGGCGCAACAACGGAGTGTTAGACGAAGCCATATCATGTCTGAGATGCTTTCTTAGGCAACACAACAGTTGAATGAGCAGATTATATTGACCTAAGGTCAAATATGGAGGTCAGACCAAGGTAAGGTACGACCTGTTTTATTGCTCCGGGGTCTGCTTTATGGGATGGTTTCTGATGCTCATCTCGAACTTATTGATGGCAGCAAGCGCATTATATATCTTCTATGGGCTTCTCAGAGGTCAGAATAGGTCACTGATCTAAAATGACAGCAGTTCAACATTTGTTTTTGGGAACATACCGCCCAACTTTATAATTGTCGTTTGTTCAAATGCAAAACTCGGAGCAATCTTGAATGATTTTGGCCACCGTGGCCTTCAAAAGGTCAAAATGTCACTGACCTTAAATGAGCATGTGACCTTTTACTTAGAAACGGTTATCTAGGTTTTGGGGGCACTTTGGAGACCACCTGGAATTTGACCTTGTTTGACCTTATTTGACTCCAAGGTCATGACTTAGGAACCTGAAACTATGACCTATGTGAGTTCACGTACAGATCAATATACTCTGCAAATTTTGGTGTATCTAGCTTTCTTAGTTCCTGAGATCTCAGGGGGTCAAATTGTACCCCCACTCGAGCGAAGGGTATCCAGCCGGCCACCCTGGTGCTTGCTAAGGCATGTATATTTGGTGAATATTGCAGAAGAAGCATCCCGACGTGTGTATATGTGTGCATTGCTGTTTTAGCTTAATTTGCAGTGCCCCGCGGTGTTATAACTTACAGCGGCATGGTCTTTGGTAGTGGCTTCCCGAACTGGCCCAAACCAGCTTTAGAACATCACGCCCTGCGGCTGCGCCCGCGTTTTTAGAGTCATTGCTAATGAAACACATTTTTTATAGGTTAATATCTCTGGATTCCATAAATTACCTACAATTATAGTTTGAATCGTCTGATTAATATTTGAAATACATTATGATGCTCGAGCAGCTATAGAAGAGAAATGGGTAATGAATGAATTGTCAAACCCCCTCACTTGCCCTCGCCTGTAAGATTGCCTGAGGTACGTAGTCGTTTTGTGTTGACGAAATATTACGGACCGTAGAGAAGGATGCTACCAAGAGAAGCAAGACTTCCTGAGTCAAAAGGTACTAGGTACTGGGCGATTTCGCAGACACTTTTTGGTTCAAATTCGCAGGAGTTCAGTGGAAACTTGATAGCTGGCCCCAATGATGAATATTTTGGCTAGGCGCTCGATCAAACGATGCTCAGAATTTCCAGGGCATTGCGTTTCACAGTGAGCTGGAAGTTCTTTAATGGAGTATTCACACTTGTATGGGGTATTGAAATGAAATAGCGATTTGAAGGTCATTCGGCGCAGTGTCACAGGCCTGCTCTTTTTAATTCATAAATCCTCTAATTTCGGAGCTACACGCCCGCGAAAATGTGCGGTCTATTTCGTGGAAAATATTTTAAGCTCACCCTGATATCGAAGTCACCTGGGGTTAAGTTTACCCAGGTAACACCAAACAGGTGACGTCATAATGGCGTCATCCAAACCCCGCCATTCCAGTGGGGATCGGTGATCAAGGCCAAGAAAAGGATAGATGTCAAGTCGTTCATATCTGGTGTTCGTGAGGACAATGTCCAGATGTAACGGTCAGCAATTGGCTGTTAATCTTCGTTTCGTAAGAGGAAAGAAGGAAAGAAGAAGCCATACTGACTCGCCTACGTATTGTCCATAGTTATAGCACGCACTCCTTCTGACTGACCAACGCAGCAGACGTCCCTACATGCGAGAGGTGCGGCCGAGACCCTCACTGTCAAGCATGCACGGGTTCAATGTGTGCGGCTAGTTGACGGGAGGCAGCATTTCTTTGGACGTGAAGACACACTAACTTTACTTTTAGGGTGAATATCCAAGGACCGACCTGCGTGATGTGGTACTGTTCTTGACCGCTGTTGGAATCCACGGATATGCTCATCTCAAGCACCCCAAACCTGCCGGGTAAGCAAAATGTTAGGAGAGCGCAAAATGACGTAAGTAGCCGACGCGCTCCATTAAACCAATCACCATCAGGTTGTGCAGGGAAACGATGACTGAATCAAACAATGACATGTTGAGGAGCATATTTACTTAACAGAGAATTTGGGATGTCTAGAGCAACGTTTCCACTGGAAGGAGACCGATAGTTAGAGATGAGCTTATTTCATGACATCTGATACTTGCTTCAATATATTCAGATGTGTAACATTCCCCTTGAAGGAGGTGCTCGGCATTTATATGGCGCTTTGAACTGAAGCAGCCATTTGACGACTTTTCGGTGTTGTTCGCACTCTTGCCCTTGTTAAGACCTAAGTCCACCTGGTTTCTGGGTTCCACACCCTGAAAAATGGGGAAATATATATCGGGGACGGTATTTCAGTCACCTTAGAAGTCATAACGTCGTACAAACGCCATTCAAATCCTGCCATTTCACAAACCATGCGGCAATCAGGGTCAAAAACGTAATTGTCGAGACATCCATACCTGGTGCTTGTGAGCGCGTCTTCTGATATAACGACCATCATTTGGCTCTCAATCAATGCTGTGCAAAGTACGATGACGTTATCGAACCATGGCGCATTGAGGAGTGTATTTGCTGAGCACAGAGTGGTACGGTCTGTGGCAGTCTTTTCCACCTAAAAAATATACCAATAGTTTTAAGAGAGTTTGTTCAGTGTTATTGATGCTTGCTCCAATATCTTCCAATGTGGATCATTTCCTTTGTGGGAATAGATGCTTCTGTTACTTTGTGATTATTCATGAATTTTAGATGCCGTTTTAATTATTTTTATTATTTCATTAGTTATGTCGATATCATGATGTTTGTGGGTTTGTTTGGTGTCTGTTTGTATCTTCTCGCAGGTGATACAAACAGTGCCTGAATTACGTTTGCCCAGAAATCACTGCATCCACATCTCTGGACAGTTGGCTCCTAATGCCGTGATGAAACCCACCCGCTCAATCACAGACAGTTGGCAGTTGGTAAGAATAAGAAAGTGAGATCAGAAATGTCAGTGAAAAATGTATCAGCACCTGACAGACCGCTCGCTCCGCACAGGGGAAGGTGTCTAAATATCGTCCTGATCAGAACAGCATGTCATTGGGTATGCACTTATGAACACGTTTTCTAGTTCTAGCTATGTTACGGCGGCTTGAATTGCGGATATTAACCCAGCATCGGCCGACACCTCTTCGCAGGTGATGTGGGTAATGTACAGATCGGCTCCAGTATCCAGTCCGTCTGGGCGGACCAAACGGATTCGTCCAAATTAGCAACACCTTGGCGGCCAGGGCTAAGCCCACAAGGAACCGACACGCCAAACCTCTGCCTGAGGTCGGGTGTTCAGCATGGTATACCTGACCAGGGAAGCCCACCTCCGGGTCGTGCCCGGCCGAACGACCCGGACGCTGCTACCATTTCTGCAGCAGCACATGATGCCCGACAGCGAGGTACGACATAACCATCATATTTCATCATTTGGATCCAGTAACAGCAACGGCGGCATGCAAGTGGTTGTGTACCGCCACCAGGCGGTGGGCCACCGCATCCGATGGCAAGCAATGACAGGTCTTATTCCAACAGCCTGACTCCGTTTCCAAACCTGAGCTCTCGGCCACGAGTTTCAGTCCAGGCTCGCAGGGAATTTCGTCATGCCTCACGAGCCCGAGTCGAATTATTTTGACAAATATGGAGATCAAGCCCAAGCTCGTAATGGCTCGTCCAAGTCCGTGTTGTTGTCTGTGTCCTTTAGTCTTCAGCCCGGGCGCGTGATGTTCGTGAGTGTGTGTCACATGCATTACTAGCGTAGCGGGCATGCACCTTAGGCTATATGAGTCCGTAAAAAAATTCCAGTCGGGTCCTGTGAAATTTTCCCCGGTATCTGTATCAAATGCTCGTGGATGGTTCAAATCACGGATGGTTCAAATGATCACGGATGACATTACACGCTATGTATATCTTTCGAGGGCCACACCCAAGAAGTAGCACCATGACAAGTCAAGACAAGACAAGCATATTCGACTGTTGCGCAGTATCCCTCGTAACATTTAAGCCCTTGAAAGGGACTGGCGCTTTTAAGGTGAATTCGTTTTTTATTATTCCAGTGACTCCATGCCATGGTGCCTTGTTTTGTAGGATGCTAACTTTGTCTTAAGGCATTCAATCAATTATCCATCAGTTTTGCAGCTGCCTCCTTCCTTGATATTCATAGGGGTGAACAAGCACCCACACCATCGAAACAACTTGGTCTGCCATGAAGACCCGTCTCAGAGCCATGCAGGGCACAAAAAGCGAGCTTCTGCCCACCTGCCTCGACGAGTTCATGTGGACTCTTCGCCATTATGGAAGAATAAGAGTGCAGCTGATCGATGGTTGATGAAGGCACAAGAGCAAGAAGAGAAACATCCCCAGATGCGGTAGGACTGTTTGTGCTCAATTAGTTCACGTTGCCGAAACTGCATCTAACGAAGCTACTTCAAGCATGCTTGCGCCCTTATGCAATCGTGCACATTTGCACTGGGTGAGGAAAGAAGCTGTCAGTTAAGTCGTCACCTCTTTGTCGAATATTATCATTATCTTTAATCAATGGTGACACCGCCGCCAGTTTATCGTCAACAGGAGTTCTGAGGACTGCCTCGCAGCACCCAGGACCAGTGACCGTAGTGAAGTTACACCAGACCTCGTCGGACGCGCTCCCCGCGCTGTGCGAAGCGTTTTGTCGATTGGCGCTGCCAGACGGAGCAGGAACTTTTCTTGCTTTGCTCTCGGTGTTAAGTTAGCGTTATTTTATGTAGTTTCTGCTTTGTTTTTGTGAGAAATATACTTCAATTTTAATATCAAGACATCTTTCATGGTGGTGAACGCATATAGCCGCGCACAAACTTTGTTTCAGGCTAAGTATTACGTCGGCTCCAATGCACACTGTTGCTATGCGCCCAGCAGGCCGTGATAGTCTCCGGGAAAGGTGCTGGGTATAATGTTTCAAATGGCCTTTAAACAGTTTAAAACCAGGGCCACTAGTGATTGCACCGATGGGAACTTTCAACGCGACGAGTAGTCGAAATCCGGGGAGTAGAAACGAGAGCAGGTAGGCAGGGTTGACGAACCGCTTTCTTCCTTCTCCCCCCCCCCCCCCCCCCGCCTTCAAATCATTTTCACACCTCTGATCGTACCCAAGTCATGCCATTCTTATTCTCAGGAGGCATTCGTGCCTAACTTAAACGCAAAGCAGCGTACAATGCCAGGTTATATCCCTTCTTTGGTCATGATCGGGAAATTTCAACAAAGCTTCCTTTCAATACTGAAACTCATTCTAGATATTTCAATAGTCGTGAACGAATCCTGCGCATACCACAGCATCGAAATTGCCACCCGAAGCCCAGAGAATGTCGTTAGGAAGACTCAGACAATTTCAACGATCCGCTCCAGCACGTTTATGAAAAAGCAACGCACCCGCTGTACCCGCGATTCGAATGAACGCAATATCGCGCAGCATGACGCCTTCGGATCGCACAGCCAGCGTCACCACGGCCGTCGTCGTGGCCGCCGCGGCGAGAAACGCCGCCGTCGCTACCGTCGCCACTGCTTCCGCATTCTGCGACACCGTCACGGACGGTCGCAGAGGCTGGAGATACCGGCGGCTGCCCCAGCATGTGCGGCCACTGGGCAGGGGGAACATGCAGTCTCACTGACTGCCGATGCCGGCTAGTCCCCCCCCCCCTCTGCTCGGCCGGCTAGTCCCCCCTCCCCCTCTGCTCGGCCCTGGCTACCAGTCCCACGGGCCTGTGTTGGGGTCCTGCACGATGACGCGCTGCGCGGTATGAAGGGAGCTGAGTGGGCGGGTGGTTGTGTCGGTGCTCTCGACAGTGATGTGACCGTGATGTGTGATGATTTGATGTGATGTGGTGTGATGTGATGTGACGTAACATATCGACCATGGCCGAGCTGGCGCGACCGACTATAGCCAGTCACCGCACATTTCGGCGGGCGAACAGCCATCTGCACGAGATCATCTGCATCTGCATGTGAGGTGTTGCGCAGCACAACGAGACTGTGCGCACTGGTCAGAGAAGGTTGCGGTAACAAACGGTCTAGGCTAGATGCGGTCACTCGGTCGGCCGTGAAGGCCGGGGCCCACCGAAACATGACGGAACATCACTCTGTCGGCCGTGAAGGCCGGGGCCCACCGAAACATGACGGAACATCACTCCAAACGAAACACACAGCTGATTACGACAGCTCAGCATGCGAACGCTCGCAGTCGTGCGCAACCAGTCCATCCCTCACGAAAACGCAATGATCGCTGAATGTTGACGTTATACGACTCCAAGAGACAAACTCCCAGCGACGTCATAGTGGGGTTGTTGCCAGCAACAGAGCCTTCTTCGTGGCTTACAACACAGGTGACAAACCCCTGGTCCTATATTTCAGACCTGGCCATTGCCTGTAATTTTGGTTGTGTACAAGTCAAACCTTTCTCTCATTTAAAGCAAGCACGATTCACCGCTAAAAAAGAGGACGGGTTGACGTGCGGGGTGTATGCTACTTCATAAGATGTTCTTGAAGCGACTTTTGTGACGCCGGACGGGCGAAGTTTAAACATAGATCCGTGTTACCACCGTGAAGAGGATTAGCACAAGTAAATATTGAGCTCGGCGTGCCTGAAAATCCATGCACGCATTGCAAATTTTGCAGTGCATTGCATTGTATTGCTTGGTGCATGCACAGTTTGCATGCACCAAACAAAGCATTCATCGGCGGTGCATTGGAAAACCTCGATTTCAAGTGTTTAACAGGCAGTGATGTCTAGTGTTCGCACTCCAAGATCCAGGGACATTGCTTGAAAGCTGATTGGCACTGGGCCTACGAAAGACCGGCAATTTCGTGGCAGTTTATATGGATTTGTAATGATGTATGCTTTCGGTAACTGGCTCACATATAAGCTGTCCTCACGATGAATTACTGGTCTAAAATCAGGCGATCAACGGTCTCAGTCCGGAAATGTTCGCGTGACCTGGCGCCCAAAAACATTTTTGCCTGTTTGCAGCGATAGTGATGTGATGATGTTTCTGATTTTGACACTGAGTGGGTGCGATGACCTGTGCAGGGCGTTGAGGACATGGTGCGGTGAAAGAGATGAAGGCAAGAGCCCGTGGATATAGGTCTTGCCGCGTGCAGGAGATCTCGACATGTCTGATTACGGCAAGTTTGGCTATAAGTGCGGTGGTGTAGACGAAGTGCGTGCTGCTACTCTGTAATGGGGGCCCGCTGACGCTGGACTCCTTGGTGGTGTGTGCCAACCCGGGCCGTCGCCCCTCCGCCTGGCTAGCTGGACCCGCCCACGGCCTACAGCCTGTCTGATCGATGTCTGACCCGGGTGCGCCACATTTAGCGACCCCTTTGTGCAAACTGACTTGATAACGTCATAATCAGATGTCCATCCATCGAATCAAATGTCAACCCACAAAATGTCACCCGCCGTGACGTCACGACACCAGGCACGCCTTCGCTCTCAGCATATTT